TTGTAATATAATCCCCTTCCCCTTATCGAGATTAGCCGAACGGAGCACTAACATTTTCACAAACAATGCTACTTAGCCCGAATGTTACGAAATTACCCGATCTAATATTTAGTTATGCAAATATATTGATACTTCCTCCTGTAACAGGCCTTGGTGTAGGTGTGTTGAAACGCACAGATTCCTCTAAGATATCTAGATCTTCATCAAGCAAAACCACATTGTTTCGTGGCATGATTTCACAACCATCCAAAATCCCAATATCATTTGACGAACCGGTTGATGATCCATCACAATCATCAAAGTCTGGGGAAATCGGATTTGGTGGAGCTTCGAGAACCATAGTGGGGACAGCAGGGGTTGACACCCTCACCATTGCAACCTCGTCAGAATTAAAGATTTCATTAAACACACTCTCACTTGCGTGGATGTAGCATTTCCCTAGAAGTCCTTGCCAAAACACCAATGTGTCGTCAATTCCTCGACATGATTTAGCACGCTTAAAATTAGTAGGGTTTGGGAAAGGAGAATTACCATGGTGATGTATGTCATCATCGGGTAAGACATTGGAAACTGCTCCAAACGTACTTCCCCTGGTTCTGTTGGCGAGCGCCTCTGGAACCGGTGCCAACCAATGTTGTACGCCCCGAAAGTTACATAAATAGCGAGAGGTAGCGTCCCCTGATTATCCCAACTAGAGATTCTAAACTTTGATTTTCTTGTACCATCACTCCGTAGCTAACTTCTGTTGGGATCAATTCGAGGTTCCACTCGCCCTCTGCATTTTTTCTCCACGAACCTCTCACTAGTCTAACAACTTTTCCCATTTCCTGCAATTTTGAAGTCAAATATTTCGTTAGTAAACGTATATATCGCAACATAACTCTATGGAATAGTAGGGAATTTAAATTGAGAGACGTATATATTTGTTAGTTTCATGTAAATTGGCCGGCTAATGCAAATGTGGTTCGGTTAATTTTTCGTAATACTGGATAACCAATTCCTAAATCCATTTCATCATCAAATACAAAAGCAGTCAAACGTATTTAACATAAAAATCATCCGCCGTCACAAGCATTAACACAGTTTTAGATGTTTTCACTAATTACAAATCTAATTTCAGCAGGCTTGTCTTTTTAACGAGGTTTTTAAAGTCCATTTGTCTCATATGTCTAGATCTGAATAGATCTGAACCGGCAAATCGAATTCGGTGACACGAGATATTTCGGTTACAAATTATGTTTGATGTTAATATATTTGTTTACAGGATGGAAAATAGATTTTTCCACATCTAAGTCTACTAGTTTTTGCTACATATACCATTGATTTGAAAATTCTAACTTGAAACATAACGTAAATAAAAAACTTTTTCACAAAATATGTACCATTGATCTGGTCTGTTTTTTTAGATCTCAAATTTAGTTGAAACTAAACCGGACAACCATCGCCGGATTTTGGTTGTATACCTTGTTAGCTGGCTAACTAGGCTTCTTAAATATCCAGATCTACTAAAAAATTTGTTACTTTTTTTACAAATGATCTCTTCTTTTACGAATTAAATTGAAAAAAAGATCAGAAAACAACAAACTGAGCTGTCGTCTACTATTTAGTAGTGAAAATAAGTTTGGAGGACCACAACATATGATTGGAAGATAAATCTATAGAGTACTTTGAAAGACAAAAATGGAAGATAATAAACACATGAACTACAACAACCATTAAAACTGTTTGGGAATAAAAGGACAAGAAGAGTTTTTTTACTCGGTGACTTTATGTTTTTTTCTGGGTTGTTGAAGTTTCTTAATGGTCATCATCTCTGCTCCCACGGTTA